TGACGTAACCGCGGTGAGGAGTTTGAGAATAGGCATGAAAGTGCTTCTCGAACTTTCGGCATGTAAAGACATACAGGAAGATTATTGAGTTTAGAAATTCTAACCCTAGAATATAGAAGAACTGCAGCAGACATGATAAAAACGTACGAAAAAAATAGGTAGAACGAGCATAAAAATGTTAACAATAAGACAGGGAACCAACATTATTCACAAATAGCACGCTTGTTAAATTATTCTCAACACAAACGGTAAATTTAAAATGACTGCGAGAAATTATCATTCTGTATATATATTATATAATTTTATCATGATGTGAAAGCAAAATAAAGGACCATTGCATGGTTTTTCTAATAGACAGACCCTTGCCATAACTGGTTAAAAAATTATCAAAATCACAAAGCTCCGACAGTTTACGCAAAGGCACTTCCGTGAAAGTTGAACTAATTTTGAGAAGTGAAAGAGTCACGCACACGTCCTTTTGCGGCCTTGTTTGGCTAAAATCAAAATAAATTTAACAATTTCATTAGAAGAGTTTTCAAATGACAAAATCTTGGAAATACTATAAAGATATAGTAGGTGTACTTATATATTCTTCCATGATGAGTGTAATAAATTTTAACGTTGGTTGTCATGGCTACCAAATATTTGTTTGAAATATTTTAATTAATTTTGAAATAAAATAAAAAAAACAATGAACAAGACATCTAATAAAAAGTGGTAAATCCCTCTATAGGAGGAGATTTTGTGCAAATTTAAGGGAAGTGTCGGACAGACGAACGTTCAACATCACAACAGTTTAAGTTAGTATAATGGTACGCTAAATATTAAATAGAAATACTCTATTGACTTGATAATTCATGTAAAACATTTAAAAGTGCGTTGTTAACGCAATGTTTACCAACCGGCAGGGATACTCTATTCAAAAAATAAAAGTAGGGCTAATTCTTAAATATTGCTTAAATTTTATAACAGGTGCATAAAGGTGTTATAAACTTAAACGATATTTTCAAACATACATTTAGAGTAAAATTAATAGCATTTTGCAAATATGGTAAAATCTAAACAAGTAATTATAAATATGGTATAGATATAATGTAAACATTTTTATTAGACCCTTGGAGACTGCATTGAACTTCCGGCTCTCAACCCAGTTGACTATATGATTTTTGTAACAAATATGTTCTATTTATTCGTAAATCCAAACCCAAACAAGCACTATCATAATTTGTAAAAAATGGAAAAAAAATGTCAAAGAAAATCATTTATCAACACTTTAATTAAGTTTTACATGTTATCATTTCCTACAAACTAGATGTTACAAAAATGGAAGGTTTTCTGCTGTTCGTTTTTTTTCGACTGAAATTTCTATAATAATAATAATAATAATAATAATAATAATAATAATAATAATAATAATAATAATAATAATAATAATAAATATACAGATAATTATACCATCGACAATAATTATTATTATACTAGCAGATTTGGAAACATATATAATTATATAATACTAAAAACAAATAATAATAATTATATTAATTAATGATATAGTAATTTCTTAGAAAACTTTCTGGCAAATAGGTGATCAATAAATAAATAACCCTCTGGCAGCGAAAGGGTTAAGTATATGTGAGGAATCCCGGACAATCCCCCTTCCGGACGATTCCCCTTCCATATTATTTTCACAACCCGGACATTTCCCCTCTCGTTATTTTAATAGGGTGGACTATTCCCCTCCCGTTAATTTTACAGGACGGACAATTCCCCTCCCGTTATTTTAGCAGAGCGGACAATTCCCCTCCCATTTTTTTTCACAGAGCGGAACGTGACATTATACGGCCCTTAATCATAACCGCTACTGTGTGTAAAAAAATCTATAACCATTCTTATTAAAGATGACAGTTTTTACTCTTAACAACAAACTGTTAAAGATCGGAACTGCATCGGAAGAAGCATTATTTCACAAAAGGTGACATAATACCGCCTTTAATCATTGCCGCCGCTGCTGAAGATAAACAAATTGTCAATAAAGAATCTTTAATCAATGATACCCTTAATTAAATGTGTCCTTGATTACAAAACCAATTATTTACAATTATTTTACTGCTGCAAAAATCACGGTGCATATCCATATCGGTACCCTCTTTGCGAAATCTGCTCAAACGGTACTCTCTTTGAACATGCACAGGTCATTCTCTGCTAAAAACAAATCAGCGAGTAAAATTTCATTGTAATAAAGAAAGGAAGTATGACACGTAGAAAAGATGTATACCACGGAACACTATAATGTTTTATTTATGTGCTGATTTGTCATGTGCCCGTTTTTCATGTACTGCAACTTCACAATAAGCTACAAAAAATCGACATGTCTTGTCTTTAACATAAACAATATTATAACATATATATGTTCAACAGTCACGGGAGAGAAATTGTCCGCTCTGACAACAGCGGGAGGGGAATTGTCCGCTCTGCTTAAATAACGTGAGGGGAATTGTCCGCCCTGTAAAATTAACGGGAGGGGAATTGTCCGCCGTAAAAAAATAACGGGAGGGGAAATGTCCGGGTTGTGAAAAAACATTCAAATTTACAGGGAGGGGAATCGTCCGGGAGGGGAATTGTCCGGATACCATATGTGAGTGCTCATCCGTGCTGTTCCAAGAGGAGGATGTTTCTAATTTCTGTAGAACAGCTACGGATGAATACTAAGTTGAGCATACTTAGTGCCAACTTGATTTGGCTTCATTAATATTCACTTTATCACGTAACGACTATTTTAACGAACGCGGTTCTATGAAGAACCATGCAAAATAGAAGGCGAGAAAGAACGGAATTTGATATAGTATCGACTTTTTTTCTTCTATGAAAATTAACGCAGATATTTTTTTTTTTTCAGAAATACAGCGTTTTCAATGGATGACAAATAAAGGTGGACACTAAGTTATTTTATTTCCATCGTCATCCCACGTTCATCCCGTTAGTAAACTAACTTGTCAAGCCAATATTTATGCATATTTTAGGTACATTCATTCATTGCAACAATTAAACATAACTATTTACAATTATATTCCTCTTGAATGGCTAGTCAAATAGTGAAACGGGCGACTTTTAAGTTCAAAGGTGACAGGTTTGCCAGTTTTCTTTCCCAGTCTTGAAACTTAAAAATGAATAATTACTATCCGAAAGAAATATTTCATACATTCTTTTGAAAAAAAAGAAAGAAAAAAAGATTTTTTTCAACCGCAATTTAATACTTTTATTATATAAACGAATTACATGATAACGGGAAATCTTTAGAAAAGAAGGCCCAAATATCTCTAAACCAATTTATATAGAAAACGCTCTTTTAATAACATAAAAAATCTATTAAAAGACGATACGAACCTACATACAAACATTTCAATTATTTCATATTTTCAATTTCACAATTTGAATATTTTAAGCAACGACCTTACCTAAATAAAATTCATTTAAATGAATTCTTTAAAAACAGCATGAAGACTTTATTGGTAAATATTAAAAATATACGAGAACAATAATCATTCACTGAACGACAATATCGGTAAGTTTCGAAACGATGATTGAAAACTATTAGTGTCAATAATTTCACAAACAGATACATATTCAGGGGAAGACATTTGTTTGTTCAGCTATTCACCATACTGTTTGAATACTTTTAACCTAACAACTCCAAGACAAACAAAATTTCGCTCAATATCTTGTTGCCACAATAAACTTATGTTGATTTCCAAAGCAACATTAATAGTCATTTTTTCTTTAAATGTAAGTTTCCTGTCCCCCTGATATGATACTATTTAAATTCATAAGCATTGAATAGAGGTTTTTGCACATTTTTTCTTGCATTGATATATTTGCAAAAGCACGGGTACGCTTTTTCAGGCCAAGCCCGCAGCGCTTTTAAACCGACCCGGTGCTTCTGCAGATGATAATCACGAAAATGTGCATTAATTAACGCAATTCTTGCATAAAAGTACAATGTATACGTCTTAATTGGTATAATAAATTTTCTTCTAGATAGCATGTTAAACTATGGTACGTAGAATTACCTTTATATGTCAGATTGAACTGTTTTAAATGCTAAATTTAAATATCCTGAATTATATTGAAATAAAAATTGCAATAAATTATGTCAAAATTCTGGAAACAAAGTGATCCCTCGGAAGCATTATTCACAACAAAATAACATAAGAATTGCAGACTCGGTTTGATTGAGTCTGTACGTGAGGGATAATGAATAAGTGCAACATCCCTCACGCCCCCTAGCACCGGCTTGAGCGGTACTCAATTCTCAACACTTTATAGTGTTGGCATCAAACCGAGTTATCTATACAATATGCAATATTGAATTACATTTGTATATTAAATTGAATTATTGCACAAAAAAACATGCACACAAATATACTTTAACGGAAGACAAGCATCCGTCGCTAGACTTCTTTTTAATATGCAAGACTCAGGGTGAATAGTAAAAACAGCTTAATGCAATGGCGGCCCCTGAAGTTTTATAATCAAAACGTAATGCATCCCCGACGGCTCGTACTTAATATGCGGGCTTGTGCTTCTGCAGATGTTAATTAATGCCTGCAAAAAATGTGCATTAACACCCTCTCATCATAATACTAGCTAAACATTTAAACCATCGTTTTGGCGGTTCAAATAAGACAAATTTAAGAAATAATTTATGACTACAGTGCGTGTTTTTAGTTGTTGTTGTTTTCATTTTGTTTTTTAATCGTTAATCGTTCCCCAACTGTACATGCTGTTTTAGTAGCTCTTGAAGTATTTTATTCTACAACTAAAACAGTGCTTCACTTATATCCCAGCAATTCGATTATTACAATATGACAGTACAATGGACAATCTGAAGCGTTACTACACGTGGCCTTACAATAACGCACAGTCCATATCTCACTGCGACTGACAGGAAACAAATAATTTATTTGAACATAGGCCTACATGTACTTCCAAGTTAACAAAACATTTTGAGTAAATAACAACGAAGCTACAGTACGAGTCGAACAGTTTTAAGCAAAACCTGCTTCAAGTTACATCGGTCATTTTATGTTTGGACCTTTTTCGGAACAGCTTTAGCAGTATTATACTCACTTTACGACAATGGCAAACATTCTCGGATTTGTCGGAATAGCCGTTTCCGGCTTTGCTCTTCTTTTTGCTATTTTAGCGGTTGCGTTAACCCTATGGGAAAGTCTGGAAGTCGGCTCATCTAAATCTACTATCGGATTATGGGAAAGTTGTCTTGAAATCAGCGGAAACAAGGTCTGTACTGACCTAAATTCTGACAACGGTAAGCATTCCAGCGTGTAGATCTACATTTCTGGTAAAATATTACATTTGTATTGGTCTTAAAATCGATGATATAGAAAAAGAATGCTTAAGCAATTTGAAGATTGTTCAAAATGGCAGAATGGAAAAAAGCACATTGCTTTTATCAATTAATTAACTAAAAAAAAATTCTTACATTACAAAGTACAAATCACAAAATGCCATGTTTTATAATAAGTAACGGGTAATTTTCATTCTTCTTTTTTTAATATTTGAAAATGATATTGTTCAATTTTTTATTCTATTTATAGTACAAGACGATGATATGCTAAGTGATTTGCGTGCTGTGCGTGCGACCGTCATACTCGGTGTAATACTGTCTGCGGCTGCTATTGTTACAGGGGTTCTTGTAATGTTTGTAATGAAAGACACAAAAATTCTGTTCTTTGTTGCGGGAGGACTTGATATAGCCGCGGGTGAGTCTTGTGTGATCATTCTTTTTTCTTCTTTATATTTTAAACTGTTCCAATATTTTGGTACACAAATAGATACATTTTGTACTCTATACTCGAGTTGCAATGTATTTAAAGAGGGCTAAGTGTCACATAAATAATGCTTATTTAGAGAGTAGCAAATCTAAATCACACCCCTTCAAATTTGATGTACTTTTGTTCTTTAAATGTTTGCATTTCATTTGATACATAATAGTAATCTAAATAAACTGATACATTTATTCCGCTATGACGTTCAACATTGGCTGTAGAAAAAATCGAAAATAACAAATCTGATATTTTAAGGATTCGTATATTAGCATTAAACAATAACTGCAATAAAAATTAGGTTTGAAATATTTAATGTTTCACGGTTAAAAAAGCTAATATCCAGTCAGTTAAAAAATGGTGATTTAATAGTTCTTTAAAAAAAATGTAGGAATTAATCTGTAAAGAAAATCTAAAGAACTTTCCGGTTTCCTTTGATTTTGACTGGCTGACTTATACCTTAATTATCTCCTGAATTGAATGTCTTTCTAAGAATTTACTTGATAATTTGATGTCCTTTTGAGGCACTGTTAGACGTCCAGACCGAGCTCCGAGGTAAAACAAAAAAATAATTTGGTGAGAAATGAATGCGTACAGTAAATTCCCACGTAAGAATTTCGTTACTACGATATAGTTATCTCCTTCCAATGATATATTAACTCGTATTGGACTTTCCACGAGACGAAGGAAAAAGTGCACGTGTCATCACCTCAGTGCCACCGTAGAAAAGTGGTCAAACATAATGACTAGGTAGAAATATGGTTGATCACTGTCAATTGTCTTGTTCTTGAAGTTGAAGCAAATTATCCCGCTGTAACATGCAATGTCCAAAAGTTTCACATTTATTTAATTCCGTTTTGTTTTAAAAATAGGAGGGGCGTTTAACTCTAGATGAGCATTTTTTCTCCTCAATTAAAATCAACAACCCCGTTTTGAGAAATGTACTTATATTTTAAGAAAAATGAAAATGTAGTTTTATTACATGTTTCATTGCGATGATGAATGATGATTTTCAGGCATTTATCCACTATATTTTTATGCTGAGGACTAACCGCAATAAAACAAGGGTCGTTTACTATAATTTTTGATATTATTTTGGTAATTTACGCCGTTTGCCACAAGTGAAAGTCACTCTCTTTGGTCACTTGGAAATATTTAATTTTATACATTTTGGGAAAAATTAAGCATGAACCTGGAGGCAATACTGGTGTAAATGAGTCAACATATTTACAAGTTAGACTTTTTTCCAGGTCTTTTCCTTATGGTAGGAATGGCGGTCTTTGTCGACAAACTTGAGAACGATCAAATGGATTACGATGCAGCATTTTGCCATGGATATTGTCGCTTGGATAGCGGCTTTGGCCGGTGGAGGAATTTCTGTGCAGCAAAAATGATGGATAAGGAATAAAAATGATAGACTATATAATATTATAGACAAAATCAATACGCCTAATAGAAAATATGAATACAAGAATGTCCCATGTGAACGTTTCTAAAGGCTTGCTACTTTTTTTAGTAAGCCAAATGATTATTTTTCATATCACCCTAGATATTTATTCATTTTTCGTACCATAAAGGAGAAATGTAAATCTAGTTACTTAATAAATTGTCATTGAATTCATATCAAGCTTTCATTTTTATTTTTTCAAATCTCAAGTTTTAGAAAAATGTTTATGGAATATTAAGGCAAATCGATTTTGTAAACAGTTTGGCTATTATCGTAGAATAAGGCACAATATTGGTTCAGCGTGAAAAGACGTTTGCTTTTTTGAAAAGAAATGTTGAAACTAGTGTTAAATTATTTGTAGTGGACAAAAAATCCCAATCATCACAATTTTGCACAAATATACATTTATTATAAGGGGCGGAACATGTACAATGTCACTTGGGGGAAATGAATTTTTCTATTCATTAATAATTTTTGTATTGTTATGGGCAATTTTTTAGCCTACAAATTTCGCTTTGTAGAATCTTTTTTTCAGCTTTAATATCGGTAGTATGAACAGAAAAGAAAATGTTTATTTCCGTTAATCCTATTATATAACACAGTATTGTGTTACAATATAAGAGATAAATGGACATAAGCACATGAAAATAATTAAAATGGTTAAAGTAATATTTGGAGAATGAACATATATTGCTGCAGAAAAAAAATGTACATAATAAATAAAGTATAAAAAATATCAGTTTAATATAAACATAACTTGCGCGCAACTGAAAGTTTACAATATCTATGAAAAAGTTTTTAACACGTCCAACATGGTTATGTATTAACTTATTAACATGATACATATTTTTTAACTATTTGCAAAATAAATAAATTTACATAGATTTTAATAATACAGACTTTTACTGAAGTAAGATCTAGTAATATCTTGTTTAATTTGAATTGAGTACGGATTTCCTGTACAGACTACAAACATGTAAAAGTATAAAAAACGAAATTCGTCTTCAATATTTTGGTATTACAAAAAGCTGACATGTGCGTTCATGTAGTTCAAATCGGTTTCTTTCTACTACATCTACCAGATTCTATTCTTAAATTAAGAGCAGATTTTCTGAGTACCGTGCCGGTTAGTAGACCCGGGTTGATTCCCAGAGGTTGCATTTCACTTTCCTTGTGATTGATCTACGGTCATTCGCACGGTACCTCGATCCGCTCTGGTATGTTCAGAAATTTCAGTTCCTTGCGAAAGTGAAGGTAACTAGTGCTGGTAAACTGCTTGACAGCCAGCTTGGAACTGTTCTCTGGTAAATTCAATGTGGCTTACTGCCGTGATACGGAGTGAAAACTACCAACACTATCTGAGACCGGTTTATTGATGTCTTGATTTCATAAACTTAATTTTATCTAAATAACATTTAAAAATTGTGATATGTCTATACAAAGCATTCTTATTGCATGATGTGGTGATTTTTCTTTGATGTTCCTCAACTGTTATACGCCAGTAACATGCTTTATTGGTAATGACGCACATTGTGATATCTCAGGTAACGCACACTTCTTGAGAAAAGTGTGCGTTATTTCAAACAAAGCACAGTTATGCAAGTACATTTTGTTGATGTATAACTTTGACCGTTGTCAAGAAACACAACGGTCACTGGACTGTACCAAAATACTCGCAATATTAATATTCGAGACCCAAGAAAAAAAAACAATAATCGTTTTTATTGATCCATCTGTTGGCATGTCATTAAAATGCTGATCAAACGGTGGTAATCGTCACAATTATTTATAGCTTTGTTTTTCTGTGTATTTGGTCATCCAACAAATCAGGCACTCTCACCATACATCTAATAGGTTCTTAATAAATAAATAAAAACTCGGTAATAGACATATGCCATTTAAAGTATAATCGAGCTTCCGAAGAATTTAATTCAAGAAGCAAAATGTACATTGAAATTTTATGTCTAATTAACCCATTACGCGATATATACGCCTTTTTCACCCCCCCCCCCTTTGGTGATTCAAATGGTGAAAAGGTGCCTTATTTAGGCCCCCAACACTTGTTTTTGTTTGAAAAATGTTGTTTAAAAAAGTGACCACTTTTTCGGCGCGGCCCCCAACTAAATGATACATCAGGGGGTTGCCTGAAGGTGTGTGTGCCCCCTTCTGTTTGGGGGGTTTGAAGGGGGACGGGGTCCCCCTCATCGCCAAGAAAATTTTGGACTTGTGAGAGGCTTAAAATGGCCGCAGATCGATCATAGGGTAACGTGTAACCAACGCTGAAAAGCATTTGACTCTATCTCAATCTATTGAGAAGTTGCAGCACTTTGAAGTCAATTTTGATGGAAAAAATCAAGGCAAAATAGTGTTTTTTGGCAATTTTGAGATGTCCTCTCGTTGCCATGGTAACAGGAAATTTAAGCCTGAGCATGTTGTTGCAAAGGCAATGGTCCAGTCAACATTTGTGCCAAGTTTGATTAGTATTGAAGCAGTTTTTTTTATAGTTTTATAGCAATTTGAACTTGTAACGGTATACTTTTGAAAACAGCCATTTTTCACAAAATGCTCATGAAGTAATGGGTTAAATATCTCATTTCTGTCTATCATGCGATAAAACAGTTATATCGATCTCTAGTGACTTCTATGTAGAAATATCATGTCCTGGGGCGGCATCACGGGTTTTCCCTTTAGAAAATATTCTCGGGCCTTACGGCCTCGATCATTTTCTGTAGAGAAAAACCCTCGATGTCGCCCCAGGCAATGATATTTCCACGCTACAGTATAACAAAAAGCTTTAAATTAACAAAACATGTATCTGAAAACCATTTCTATGACTCCTTTGTTTAAAGATAGAAAGAAGTAATATGGGGAAAGGTAATATAGAATCAAAGTCATCGATCGCAACCAGACAGCCATGGAAACACCGTATTGTTATTTGGCTTCTAATGTAAACAAAATATTATAGTATATTCAAGTTTTTCTGTGAACTGAATACGGGATTTATTTGTATAGAGCGCTTCATACCATGAGATGAAAACAAATCTCGTATTAAAAGAAATAAACTAGTTTATCATAAACTTTTTAGTTATTTAGTATTATTTTTTGTTAGTTTTTACCTTATGATTCTAAACGCTTCCCTTTTAATTTACGGAAAATATTGTTCCCCTGCAGTGAAAAACGAAAAAAACACGCCTTAACTTTGAGAAAATATCCTTTTCCGCTGATCGACGGTGAAATTCTTTTTTTTACAATAACAATAAATTGATATATTTATTTATGATAAAAATGCATCGCGGGTTTCCAAGACATATTTTGAGTTAACAAGAACTCGGGGGGCATTTGAAAAATCGGGTATAAATTTGTTAGCCGGGGTTTTATGTTTGCAATTTTGCATAATAATTAGGTAATTATGTATGGCAAGGATGAAGACTTGAAATAAACAGGTCAATACTTGCGTGCAAATAATTTGGAAATTTTACTCAAAACTTCCAGATTTTAAGCAAGAGGCGATGAAAAATGGACTATGAATTAGTTTTTGACACATACTACAATATGTAAGGCAAGCTTAATCATTAAAGTTTAATTTAGCACCTAAAACTCACTTAAATTTAAAGATGAATATATCCATTTTTGACGATGGTTTCGGCCGTATATACAATAGTTTTCCGACGAACTCCGCGACAGTTATCACAAGAACTCCTTGACAAGTTATCATAAGAACTCCATCCCTCGTGAAACACTTCCTGCCACCCCCCCCCCCCCCCCCCCGCGGTGAATAAGTGTGGGAAGGAGCCGTAGTATGTTTAGATTAGATTAAATGATTAAATTACGTCCTCGCTATTGCACGGGATTGGTGAGGAGACGGAATTAAATTTGTTTGCTGCTTAAACTTTAAAGTAAGACGATAGATTTAAGTAAAGGCAATGTGCACAATCGAGATTTGCCGTTTAACACAGATGTTGCAGTATGAATAACAAATGCATTGATGATATAATTTAAACATATCTTGTGCGATTAATGGAACCTTTTGGATTTATAAATCATGAAAAAAATCAACATAGGGGGTAAGAGGTATTTTGTGAACAATTATATTAAGTCAAACCTTCAACAGAAAACCACAGCAAACCAAGAGACCCAGTTTGTAAACGGTAGAAAAATGTTTGACAATTCTTGTTAAGAATCAACCTTAAAAGCTGAAGTACATAATGAGCCCAAGATAAACAGATTGAATTGGAAATCGAACAAATCAAAGAAACCTCGCCCAATAATTGTCAAATTTCATAGTTATGTTGAGCGTGAACGTGTTCGTACAGCATCATTCAATTTAAAAGACGAGCTAAAAACAAAAAATCTCGGAGTTGGAGTTCAAATTCCTAAGGAATGGCGTGATGCGCGTAAACCATTATATTCGATAGCCGATCAGGAGCGAAAGAAAGGGAAATCAAAGTGCTGCAGCACTGAATGCGACGGTCATGCAACCGGGGAGACATTTAGGGATTTTTTAGAAAAAAAAATAAAGCACAAAATATATAACAGAAAAAATTTGTTCCAAACAAGGAGCAATATATTTTGTGTCCCAATCTGATATAATCCAGATTTTCTACTTTCAAGCAGAATGAAATATATGCCTAAAACCCCGGTCAAACTTGTAAATCAGTTTCATTATCGATTTATTCCAAGAAATGATATGTAAATGGAATAAAAACTTTCAACGACATATTTCTAAAATAAAACCATGCAAATAGACTTCAAGCATAATACATTATACCACGGATAAATCCGTGATTATACATGTGAGAATGTTATTTAGAATTGCTTCGTGTTTTAACATAGTGGGCATATAGACAATAAAATATATTAAGTCATTTGTATTTTTATTTCTTTTGGATATGTACGTCTCATTAAAAATATTTTTGGTTAAAATCATCACCGTATTTTTTAGATTTTTTTTATTTGCAAGG